ATGCCCGCAAACAGCATGTGTATGCCCGCAAACAACATGTGTATGCCCGCAAACAACATGTGTATGCCCACAAACAGCATGTGTATGCCCGCAAACAGCATGTTTATGCCCCCAAACAGCATGTGTATGCCCGCAAACAGCATGTGTATGCCCGCAAACAGCATGTTTATGCCCGCAAACAGCATGTTTATGCCCACAAACAGCATGTGTATGCCCGCAAACAGCATGTGTATGCCCGCAAAGAGCATGTGTATGCCCGCAAACAGCATGTGTATGCCCGCAAACAGCATGTGTATGCCCGCAAACAACATGTGTATGCCCGCAAACAGCATGTGTATGCCCGCAAACAGCCTGTGTATGCCCGCAAACAGCATGTTTATGCCCACAAACAGCATGTGTATGCCCGCAAACAGCATGTGTATGCCCGCAAACAGCATGTGTATGCCCGCAAACAGCATTTGTATGCCCGCAAACAACATGTGTATGCCTGCAAACAGCATGTGTATGCCCGCAAACAGCATGTTTATGCCCACAAACAGCATGTGTATGCCCGCAAACAGCATGTGTAAGCCCGCAAACAGCATGTGTATGCCCGCAAACAGCATGTGTATGCCCGCAAACAGCCTGTGTATGCCCGCAAACAGCATGTTTATGCCCACAAACAGCATGTGTATGCCCGCAAACAGCATGTGTATGCCCGCAAACAGCATGTGCATGCCCGCAAACAGCATGTTTATGCCCCCAAACAGCATGTGTATGCCCGCAAACAGCATGTGTATGCCCGCAAACAGCATGTGTATGCCCGCAAACAGCATGTGTATGCCCGCAAACAGCATGTGTATGCCCGCAAACAACATGTGTATGCCTGCAAACAGCATGTGTATGCCCGCAAACAGCATGTGTAAGCCCGCAAACAGCATGTGTATGCCCGCAAACAGCATGTGTAAGCCCGCAAACAGCATGTGTATGCCCGCAAACAGCATGTGTATGCCCGCAAACAACATGTGTATGCCCGCAAACAGCATGTGTAAGCCCGCAAACAGCCTGTGTATGCCCGCAAACAGCATGTGTATGCCCGCAAACAGCATGTGTATGCCCGCAAACAGCATGTGTATGCCCGCAAACAACATGTGTATGCCCGCAAACAGCATGTGTAAGCCCGCAAACAGCCTGTGTATGCCCGCAAACAGCATGTGTATGCCCGCAAACAGCATGTGTAAGCCCGCAAACAGCATGTGTATGCCCGCAAACAGCATGTGTATGCCCGCAAACAGCATGTGTATGCCCGCAAACAACATGTGTATGCCCGCAAACAACATGTGTATGCCCGCAAACAGCATGTGTATGCCTGCAAACAGCATGTGTAATCCCGCAAACAGCATGTGTATGCCCGCAAACAACATGTGTATGCCTGCAAACAGCATGTGTATGCCCGCAAACAGCATGTGTATGCCCGCAAACAGCATGTGTATGCCCGCAAACAGCATGTGTATGCCCGCAAACAGCATGTGTATGCCCGCAAACAGCATGTGTATGCCCGCAAACAACATGTGTATGCCTGCAAACAGCATGTGTAAGCCCGCAAACAGTATGTGTATGCCCGCAAACAGCATGTGTATGCCCGCAAACAGCATGTGTATGCCCGCAAACAGCATGTGTATGCCCGCAAACAGCATGTGTATGCCCGCAAACAGCATGTGTATGCCCGCAAACAGCATGTGTATGCCCGCAAACAGCATGTGTATGCCCGCAAACAGCATGTGTATGCCCGCAAACAGCATGTGTATGCCCGCAAACAGCATGTGTATGCCCGCAAACAACATGTGTATGCCTGCAAACAGCATGTGTATGCCCGCAAACAGCATGTTTATGCCCACAAACAGCATGTGTATGCCCGCAAACAGCATGTGTAAGCCCGCAAACAGCATGTGTATGCCCGCAAACAGCATGTGTATGCCCGCAAACAGCCTGTGTATGCCCGCAAACAGCATGTTTATGCCCACAAACAGCATGTGTATGCCCGCAAAGAGCATGTGTATGCCCGCAAACAGCATGTGCATGCCCGCAAACAGCATGTTTATGCCCCCAAACAGCATGTGTATGCCCGCAAACAGCATGTGTATGCCCGCAAACAGCATGTGTATGCCCGCAAACAGCATGTGTATGCCCGCAAACAGCATGTGTATGCCCGCAAACAGCATGTGTATGCCCGCAAACAACATGTGTATGCCCGCAAACAACATGTGTATGCCCACAAACAGCATGTGTATGCCCGCAAACAGCATGTTTATGCCCCCAAACAGCATGTGTATGCCCGCAAACAGCATGTGTATGCCCGCAAACAGCATGTTTATGCCCGCAAACAGCATGTTTATGCCCACAAACAGCATGTGTATGCCCGCAAACAGCATGTGTATGCCCGCAAAGAGCATGTGTATGCCCGCAAACAGCATGTGTATGCCCGCAAACAGCATGTGTATGCCCGCAAACAACATGTGTATGCCCGCAAACAGCATGTGTATGCCCGCAAACAGCCTGTGTATGCCCGCAAACAGCATGTTTATGCCCACAAACAGCATGTGTATGCCCGCAAACAGCATGTGTATGCCCGCAAACAGCATGTGTATGCCCGCAAACAGCATGTGTATGCCCGCAAACAGCATGTGTATGCCCGCAAACAGCATGTGTATGCCCGCAAACAGCATGTGTATGTCCGCAAACAGCATGTGTATGCCCGCAAACAGCATGTGTATGCCCGCAAACAGCATGTGTAAGCCCGCAAACAGCATGTGTATGCCTGCAAACAGCATGTTTATGCCCGCAAACAGCATGTGTATGCCCGCAAACAGCCTGTGTATGCCCGCAAACAGCATGTGTATGCCCGCAAACAACATGTGTATGCCCGCAAACAACATGTGTATGCCCGCAAACAGCATGTGTAAGCCCGCAAACAGCATGTGTATGCCCGCAAACAGCATGTGTAAGCCCGCAAACAGCATGTGTATGCCCGCAAACAACATGTGTATGCCCACAAACAGCCTGTGTATGCCCGCAAACAGCATGTTTATGCCCACAAACAGCATGTGTATGCCCGCAAACAGCATGTGTATGCCCGCAAACAGCATGTGTATGCCCGCAAACAGCATGTGTATGCCCGCAAACAACATGTGTATGCCCGCAAACAGCATGTGTATGCCCGCAAACAACATGTGTATGCCTGCAACCAGCATGTGTAAGCCCGCAAACAGCATGTGTATGCCCGCAAACAGCATGTGTATGCCCGCAAATAGCATGTGTATGCCCGCAAACAGCATGTGTATGCCCGCAAACAACATGTGTATGCCTGCAAACAACATGTGTATGCCCGCAAACAGCCTGTGTATGCCCGCAAACAGCATGTGTATGCCCACAAACAGCATGTGTATGCCCGCAAACAGCATGTGTATGCCCGCAAACAACATGTGTATGCCTGCAAACAGCCTGTGTATGCCCGCAAACAGCATGTTTATGCCCACAAACAGCATGTGTATGCCCGCAAACAGCATGTGTAAGCCCGCAAACAGCATGTGTATGCCCGCAAACAGCCTGTGTATGCCCGCAAACAGCATGTTTATGCCCACAAACAGCATGTGTATGACCGCAAACAGCATGTGTATGCCCGCAAACAGCATGTGTATGCCCGCAAACAGCATGTGTATGCCCGCAAACAACATGTGTATGCCTGCAAACAGCATGTGTATGCCCGCAAACAGCATGTTTATGCCCACAAACAGCATGTGTATGCCCGCAAACAGCATGTGTATGCCCGCAAACAGCCTGTGTATGCCCGCAAACAGCATGTGTATGTCCGCAAACAGCATGTGTATGCCCACAAACAGCATGTGTATGCCCGCAAACAACATGTGTATGCCCGCAAACAGCATGTGTATGCCCGCAAACAACATGTGTATGCCTGCAAACAGCATGTGTATGCCCGCAAACAGCATGTTTATGCCCACAAACAGCATGTGTATGCCCGCAAACAGCATGTGTAAGCCCGCAAACAGCATGTGTATGCCCGCAAACAGCCTGTGTATGCCCGCAAACAGCATGTTTATGCCCACAAACAGCATGTGTATGCCCGCAAACAGCATGTGTATGCCCGCAAACAGCATGTGTATGCCCGCAAACAGCATGTGTATGCCCGCAAACAACATGTGTATGCCTGCAAACAGCATGTGTATGCCCGCAAACAGCATGTTTATGCCCGCAAACAGCATGTGTATGCCCGCAAACAGCATGTGTAAGCCCGCAAACAGCATGTGTATGCCCGCAAACAGCATGTGTATGCCCGCAAACAGCATGTGTATGCCCGCAAACAGCATGTGTATGCCTGCAAACAGCATGTGTATGCCTGCAAACAGCATGTGTAAGCCCGCAAACAGCATGTGTATGCCCGCAAACAGCATGTGTATGCCCGCAAACAGCATGTGTATGCCCGCAAACAGCATGTGTATGCCCGCAAACAGCATGTGTATGCCCGCAAACAGCATGTGTATGCCCGCAAACAGCATGTGTATGCCCGCAAACAGCATGTGTATGCCCGCAAACAGCATGTGTATGCCCGCAAACAGCATGTGTATGCCCGCAAACAGCATGTGTATGCCCGCAAACAGCATGTGTATGCCCGCAAACAGCCTGTGTATGCCCGCAAACAGCATGTGTATGCCCGCAAACAGCATGTGTATGCCCACAAACAGCATGTGCATGTATGCCCCTGCTCCTGCATGAATGCCCTCAAAGAACACACCCATTCACCCACCTGACTCAATCTCCCGGCTCTCTGCCTCATTAAAGTCAGTGCTGGTGGAGGCAACAGCAACAGTCAGTCAGCCCCGGGCGCCACCGAATACCTCAAAAGCACGCACGCACGCACATACCATCATCAACCCACCTGATTCGATCTCCCGGCTCTCTGCCTCATTAAAGTCAGTGCTGGTGGAGGCAACAGCAACAGTCAGTCAGCCCCGGGCGCCACCGAATACCTCAAAAGCACGCACGCACGCACATACCATCATCAACCCACCTGATTCGATCTCCCGGCTCTCTGCCTCATTAAAGTCAGTGCTGGCGGAGGCAACAGCAACAGTCAGCCCCGGGTGCCACCCCCTCACATCCCCCTCAACCACCAGCCTGCCTCTGCCCCGCTGCCGCTGTTGCCCTTGCATGTTACAAGTAACACACACACATTAACCCACCTGATTCGATCTCCCGGCTCTCTGCCTCGTTAAAATTCGTACTGGTGGAGGCAACAGCAACAGAGAGGCCCGGGCGCCACCCCCTCACATCCCCCTCAACAATCAGCTGCCTCTGCCCCGCTGCTGCTGTCGCTGCCAGTCGCACCCAGGAGGGAGTGTCTCTTCCCCCCGGCATGCCATGCAGGTCCACCTGCCCTCCCACCTGCTTAGGAAAAAGGGAGACACGGACAGACGTGAGAGGGCGCATTCAGGGGTGTGTGTTTCTGCGCCTCTTTTCTTTCTCCCCCTCAAACGTCAGTTGCCTCTGCCCCGCTGTCGCTGTTGCTGCCAGTCGCACCCACGAGGGAGTGTCATCCCCACCCGGCATGCCATGCAGGTCCACCTGCCCCACCTGCATGAGGGACAGAGCACAGCACACACAGACACGATCCCAAACAAGCGTGAGTGGGGGCATTCAAGGCTGTGGCTGTGTGTTGGCGTGGCGTCACTCTCTCAGCTGAGTAAGAAAGAGTGGGGATGTGAGCATAGGAAGAGTGGGAGAGGAACGAGAGGGAGGGAGGAGGGGGAAGGGGACAGACGTACCACAGCAAACGCCTTGTGACCCAGGTCTCGGGGGTTTCTCGCGTCAGCGGGCGGCACTTTTCGGAGCTTGTACGGCTTCCTGCCGCCCGAGAATCCCGTGTTGGGGTGTAGGGTGACCGTGAGATGCGAGGACAGCTGGCGGGACGCGGAGCCTTCAGTGAAGCGCCCCATAACGAGGATGAAACGGGCCCTGATCCGGATGTTAGGAAGCTTGGGTGAGTCAAGAACCCTTTATGGAGGGAATGATGGGAGTGTGGGGGGGAGACGGAGGGGGAAAGAATCGAACTTGAGTCAGTTCGGTGCTAGAAACAGTGAGGCGCCCCATAACGAGGATGAGGTGGGTCTTGACGTGGATGTGGGGAAGCTTGGCCGAGTGGAGGACCCTGGAGGGAGGGAATGGTGGGTGTGGTTGGAGAGAGGTAGGGGGGAAAACAATGGCTAGCCCCATAACGAGGATGAAACGGGCCCTGACGTGAATGTGGGGGAGCTCGGGCGAGTCAGTCGAGGACCCTTGATGGAGGGAGAAGCGGGGGTAAGGGGAGACGGTGATCGGGGGTAAGGGGTAAGGGGGGAAAGTTTGTGTGTGGATCGATTCAGGAAACATTGAGTCAGCTCATAACAAGGACGAAACGAGCGTTGAGGTTCACGCGGGGGAGCTTGGGCGAGTCAATGAGCCTGGAGGGAGGAAGTGGAGTGAAATTGGGGAGGATTGAGTGTGCGAGTCATTCTATGAAACAGTGTGTTGAAGAACATGGGAGAGCTTGGGCGGGTGTGGGTTTATGTAAGAAGCAGTACTCACACTCACAGCTATCACACTCGAAGCAGTGACATGGCAATCATGTCAAACTCACACCACTCACAACACTCACACCACTCGCACTCACTTGAGCCACCCCTTGATCTTGAGCTTCCCAACCCTCACTTCAGGCATGTCCAGCAGGATGCCGGGCCACACGAGGGAGGGAGGCGAGAGAGAGGGAGAAGAGAGGAGGAGCGTTACCAACTCAACCTACAGCAGCCAAACTCACAGGACTCACACTCCTCACACTCACTTGAGCCATCCTTTAATCCTGAGCTTCCCAACCCTCACTTCAGGCACATCCAGCAGAATGGCCGCGCCACACGGTATAGTCACGTCCCGCCACTGCAGCAGCCCACGCCCAGGCACGCCCAGGCGGAAGGGCCACCCCTTGTGCCCCCACGGTACCAGCGACTGCCGCCCCCATGTGCTGGGGTCGCTCCAACGCTTCCAACCTGCGAGACACACATAGAGGGACCGTGGGATTGAGGAGGAGTGAGAAAGAAAGGGAGCTGTCAGCCTCTTGAGCCAGGCACAGGCGGCAAGGGAAGAGAGTGCTCCCGCCACTGCAGCAGTCCGCGCCCAGGCACGCCCAGGCGGAAGGGCCATCCCTTGTGTCCCCACGGCACCAGGGACTGCTTTCCCCACGTGCTGGGGTCGCTCCAACGTTTCCATCCTGAGTGAAGGGCGGAGGAGAGACATAATGCCCATCAGCTTCTTGCATCGGGCCCATGGAACCAGCGAGTTCCGCCACCACGTGCTAAGGTCGCTCGCTCCAGGCGCCTTCACGGACCCTGGAAACGGAGCCTGGCGCGTTCCCAGGCTCCGTGAAGAGCAGCGAGGGGGGATTTGCAGGAGAATCCTTCACAGACGGGTTTGCATGTGTGGTGCCTTGATTGATAATGCACCGTGGCGAGGGGAAATCGCGGGGAGGCTTCCGCAGACGGGTTTGTATGCGTCAGTGACGCAGAACGGAGCAACCGCAACCATACGCACATGCGTTTTGAGGTGCATTGTGTAAAGCACGCACCGTGACGGGGAGGGTTTGCGGGGAGGCTTCCACAGACGGGCTTGTAGGCGTCAGTGACGCGGAAGGGCGCAGCCGCGACCAGACGCACCCCGCGAGAGAGTTGGCCGCCGAAGCCGGGAGGAGAAGGGGTGGTTGGAACGAGGAGGAGGAGAAGGAGGGGGAGGAAGGGGAACTGGAGGGGGTGGTGGGACGGGGATGCAGCTTTGTGACGACAGTGCGTGTGGAGGAGGTGTTTGCGATGCTGGGTTTGAAGATTGCGGCCGTGATAAGAGTTGGAAAGTGCCATGAGCGTAGCTACTATTGTACGCGCTTTAGGGAGGTTCAGTGGCTCGCGATGCTGCTGTTTTTGCAAGCGCGTTATTTTATTTTAACCACATGAAAGCTGTTAAGAATAGCTAACTGGGCTAGCGAACGACTGTCAGACCGGTTACAGACAATTCGACTGTCAATCCAGCTTATTATACTCTCCTAGCCTTATCCGCTGGTAAGAAGGCTGGCTTTTAGTTGACTAATGAAGCTTCCCTTTGACGTCTCCAAAGCTGGTCCAAACGTTCAGATTATATATAATCCGAAGAGGCTGCTTTCTACGACGGAAGCCGTCGCGAAGTGGTTATTCATGTGGTTAAAGACGTCGCGAGAAGCAGCGTCTACAGCGTGGTACGTGCGACTGTCGCGGAAGCCTCCGCGAAGTGACTGCGTGTGTGGTTACAGACGCCGCGAGAAACAGCTTCTACAGCGTGGCACGTGCGACCTGTGCGTGCGACTGTCGCGGAAACCGCCGAGAAGACAGGGACCGTTACTACTAAAGAGTCGAAAAGCCATGGCCTTCCGCAACGACCGGTTTGTCTTGGTCCAAGTCTGGAGTGGAACGAGAGCCGCGACTCGGAATCTCCGAGCTGGTCGAATCAACGGTTAAGCAAGAGTCAACAGTTCAACTTTCAACTAATCAACGTTCAAATGACGATTCGCGAATCGACCTTTATGCTGGGAGTCTGAGGCAACATGCATTCTACGAAAGCGGTCGGAACGCAACTGCAGTCATGACAATAAACTGGGAAAAAGCATGTGCTCGAAAGATAGAAAAATTGCGCAGCAGCGCATGAGAAACGGTATCAACTAGCACTCCGATGCCTGACTAACACGAGATATGGCGCCTGGTAAACAGCAACGCCTGTCAGCAGATATCCGCCCTGTTTTGCGTGCTCACTAACACACTCCCTTGTTGGTCAGCATACAATTCGTGTAGTGTTGGCCGTTTTATGTTTACGTGCAAGTGGTTCAAAGCGGTGAAGCATTAAAACCGCTTTACAATCCACGTGATCTTTTTCAACCGTTCCACTGCAACTCGGCAGAATGAGGATTCCACTCCCACCATGTGCTCTGAAGTCAGTCGAGTCGAGAGGGGACTTGTGCTCACTGGGATCACCATTGCTACAGTAACAATGTTCCATTTTATTCCCGTTAGAGGTCGTCGGTCAGAACCTGGACTCGTTATGCAGACCGCGATGATCAAGAAGCCGCGGTGCTGTTACTGCACTAACAATGGCTCCCCGTGTCAGACTCGGCGGAACTCCGAGACTTCTGGATGCAATGATTGGTTCGCCTGGTAAACAAGTCACATTGTGTTCGCAGGGTGGTTGCCACTGCCATCCCCTGGCAGTTCAACAACGCTGTAGAATCAAGTTCAGATTAGTTTTGTACACCGGCATATCTGACTTACTACTTTTGAGACTAGTGATCACTACTGGTACCATCCAGGAATGAGATTTCGAGAATGCTCTGCTTATTACAAAGCTGTTGTATAAAGTATTAGTAGCCTATATATATCATGTTACTTGGCAATGCGATCTCTCAACACATCCAAAACACTTCCCAAGTTGTCCTTCACGCTCACAGGAGGATTGGCAAATGTCGACACCATGCCAGGAATCTCATTCGAGTGATAAGCCACCTGAAAGCAGCACAAAAAACAATACCCAGAAAAATCAGCTAAAAGGCATGAATTTCAATCGGCAACAGCCCCCAACCATCACACTTCAATTTTGGGATGTACCGTAACTGCCGAAAGAACTTCAGTGTTTCCAAAGGATTGCTTTGGCTTACCTTGGATTGAGCGAACTTGAGGCCGTGTGCTGTGCTGACCACCACTGTGCGATCATTGGGGCCAATCACTCCCCGACTGCGCAGCTTCTTCAGAGCCGCCAGAGCCACCTGCAAGGGGGGGGGGGGAAGAGAGGAGCCAAGGGAATGTAAATGGGCACAAACACAATGCACCCTGAGGGAAAGCATAACAAGCAGAAAAACAGAGGTAGAATAACACTTCGTAACAGCAGACTTAACAGGAAAGGGCACTCACTCCTGTGTGTGGACAGTTGAACATGCCCGTGAGATCCGCCTCTGCTGCAGCGTCCATGAGCTCCTGCTCCGTGGCCTCCTCCACTATGCCGTTGGATGCCTGGTCAGGGAAAGGGACAGGATCAAACATGCTTGAATGAAGCAAACACACCTAGCACAGGCCCAGGGAACATCTTACCATGGGAAATCGGAGCCAAGATTGAGTGCATAGAGCTCAGCCTACCTTCAGCGCAAAGATAGCTCGGTCGATGGACACAGGGTCGCCGATCTGAATAGCCAAGGATAAAACTATACCCACCTTGAGAGCAAAGATAGCTCGGTCAATGGACACAGGGTCGCCGATCTGAATAGCCAAGGAAAAAACTATACCCACCTTGACAGCAAAGATAGCTCGGTCGATGACACAGGGTCGCCAATCTGAATAGCCAAGGAAAAACTATACCCACCTTGAGAGCAAAGATGGCTCGGTCGATGGAGACAGGGTCGCCGATCTGGATGGCGGAGGCGAAGGTCTGTGTCGCCCGCACCGGCTCAAACTGCTCAAAGCCCTTCTGGTATGACAGGTAGAGCGGGTTCGCGTTGGCTGCCTGCGCACAAACCTGTGGAGGGAGAAAGAAAGGGGGGGAGAGAGGGCGACACAGGGAGAGACATAGATATGTTAAGTAACAGGCAATTCGGGGCTGGGTAAAAGGGCATGATCATACACCAAAAACGAGAAGCACTCAAGGGGTCAGCACCGTAGTAATTCTTGAGTCAACACAAGAGTTCAGTCAGGGATAACTGTGATGAAAGTGTGCTCATCATTCCCCTTCCAGAAACAAGGAAAAAATAACAGAAGCAGGGAGACAGATACAGAAACACTTGTAAGCATAACAGCAGAGAGCAGGTGGATTCATGGCATCAGATAGGGGCGAAAATTAGGTTTTCACGGACACACGAATGTGTCTCATCTGAACTATGCATAACTTCAATCAACATTTGCCAGAGTCACACGCTCCCACACCCACCAAAACCTTCTCAACCCAATCCAGCCCAACACAACCCAGACAAGACCTTGATGGAGCAAACTGCAAATCCTTCCCAAACCTAACGTCTGAATCACGAGAGTCAGCACCGTAGTAATTCATGAGTCAACAAGGAAGTTCAGTCAGGGATAACTGTGATGAAAAAGTGCTCATCATACCCTCCCTCTCTAACCCTCTCAATATACCCTGCTCCTCCCTACCTGGGTTCTAGAATCCCACCTCATCACCAGTGACACTAACGAGGGTCAGAACCGTAGTAATTCATGAGTCAACACAGAGGTTCAGTCAGGGATAACTGTGTGAAAGTGTGCTCATCATACCCTCCCTTCTCCTCCCTAGCCGCGTCCCCTCCTCCATACCTGGCTATTAAATCCCACCTCAAGTAACAATAACAAGGGTCAGCGCCTTAGTCATTTAGAGTCAACATGAGAAAATCTTAGTGTGATAAGAACATGCTCATCATGCCCTCACTCAACATACCTACCTTAAAACTAACCCAAACATCACTCAAAACCCTTCAATGCATCAACCAATTTACAGAGACGAAGTACTCAAAGACGCACAGGAGGAAACGAGGGAAATGGAGAGGGACAGAGAGAAACGAGCAGCAGAAGTAGCAGTGACAGGTGAAGGAGGTGGGTGATGTGGCATCAGATAGGGGCGAAAATAAAGTTTTCCCGGACGCACGAGTGCGTCTCATCTGAACTATGCATACTTCAATCAACATCTGCCACACAGACCGCCCCAAAGGAGGGAAAACAAATACCGACCGGTTCACTCTCCTCTACAAAAGCTTCAAACATCAGGCCTCAGTAACGTGATTTATCAACAGGCGGAGATTCAGCCATATGCTTGTCAATTATTTTGAAATCATCCACGGCCGCACAAGACGAAGCTGCCAGTTGAGGTGTAATAGAGCCTCAAGCCCGCTCAACAGCAGAACAAGATTGGAGGCACAAAGGCCAGAAGAAAATGGAAAAAAACCCTCCCACACTGGTTCCCTTACCAGGGGAAGCAGCGACAACGAAGCTGGAGAAACGCAAGGGGCTAAACATACGGCTTCTCTCGACTAGAGCTTCAGGACAGAAGCAGCAGGGTCTCAGTAACATGGTTTATCAACAGGCAGTGATTCAGCCATATGCTTGTCAAATATTTTGTAATCATCCATGGCCCTCGCATGAAGCTATCAGAGATGCAATAGGGTCTCAAACTCACCCCTCACAAAAAGCAGAGGAAGCACGAAGGCAGGAAAAAAAGAAGTGGGAAAGGTCCCCCCACACTGAAACCCTCACCCGGTTAAGCAGGAATAATGAAGCTGGGGAAAGGCAAGGGGCAACAAATACGGCTTCACAACTGAAGCAGCAGGGTCTCAGTGACATGGTTTATCAACAGGCGGTAATTCAGCCATATGCTTGTCAATGTTTAAAGATCGTCCTCGGCCCCGTTAAACGGCGTGGCTAGCTTAGCACAACAATCTCGAGCGGTGGGAGCGCGGATGGGGGAGAAGAGAGAGGGGAGAAGGGAGGAGAGTCGAAGTGGGGAGGGTCGAAGGGGGGATAGGAGAAATGGTGCAAGGAGGATGGTGGGAGGGGAAAGCGCGGCGAAGAAAAGCTTTTCTCACCAGACGGGGGATGCGGTCGACGAGGCCCATCTCCTTGCACATGTAGAAACCCTTGTAGAAGGCGTAGATGTTGCCGAGATTGCCTGCACCGACGAAAGGACATGTAGTGGTCAGTGGGAAGCCAGACCATGTCAGAAACAGCAAGATTGAGAGAAAGACAAAGAGCAGAACAAGTCTGGTAGCAGAATACCCAAGGAGTTAAGACGCGGAGAGACTCGAGTGGCGGAGGTGGGGAGTGGGGATGGGGGTGGGGTTGGCGGCAGGGGTAGGGGTTTGGGAGGGGAGCCAGCAGAAAAACGGGAGGTCATCGAGACAACCCAATCAACCCAGTCAACGAGTCAACCCGGTCAACCCAGTCAACGCACCTCCTGGCACGATGACCCAGTCGGGCACTTCCCACTCGAACTGCTGGCAAATCTCAATAGCAGCCGTCTTCTGGCCCTCGAGGCGCAGCGAGTTGAGCGAGTTGGCGAGGTAGATGGGCAGCTGCGCCGTCACGTCGCGGATCAGCCGCATGCACCCGTCGAAGTCCGTGTCGATCGACAGCACGAGAGCGCCGTTCGCGATGGGCTGCACGAGTTGCGCGAGGGAGATCCTGCGAGACAGAGGGGTTTGTCGGAGGATGGGTGTCAGGGGGAAGGGTGAGTGAGTGGGGAGGTTAGTGAAACCGCATGCACCCATCGAACTCCGTGTCGATTGATAAGACGAGAGCGCCGTTCGCGATTGGCTGCACCAGCTGCGCGAGAGAGATCCTGAAGAGACAGACGGTGGGAGAGGTGACAAGCGGAAGGGTGTCAGACGGACAGTTGGTGAGATCACATGCATCCGTGGAAACCCGTGCTGGTCGACAAGACGAGGCAAAACAAGCCGACAAGGGATCAAGGTAAGGCTAGTACGAAGTTCACGTACTTGTTAGCAGGGAGGAAGACGATAGCGGGGATGCCGGCAGCAGCGCAGTAGGCGGAGAGAGCAGCGGAGGTATCGCCGGTGGAGGCGCATCCAACGGCTGCGAGTGGCATGTTCTTCTTCCGCAGCCGATTCACTTGACTCACGAGCACTGTCATGCCCAGATCCTGCGGTCAAAAGACAAGGACGGTGGTAGAGACAAGGAAACGTTAGGAGATAATCATGCAAAAACTACGAATTACTCATTCGCCTGTGATTTAAAGATGCAAAAGGCAACATAAAAAAGAGAGAAGTCTTTGGAAACAGGGAGGGCGAACAGATGAGCCGTGAAACATACCTTGAAAGAGCCAGTGTGGCTGTTGCCGCACTGCTTGACCCACAGATCGGTCATTCCGAGCTCCTTGCCGTACCGCTCGGCCCAGAAGAGGTTGGAGTTGCCCTCAAACATGCTCACGATGTCGTCGTTGTCGATCCCCTGCACATCCATCGCACATCCATCGCGCATCCATCGCACATCCATCGCACATTCATCGCGAATCCCGTGACGAAAACGATCGTAACTATAATACGACGGATCTATAGACCGAATCACAAACAAAATCGTGAAGTCAGCGAATGGAAACCATCAATCAGTGTTAAGAAAAACTAACAATTATTGTTACTACTTACAGGGAGAACCCATTCCTTCTTGCTCCACACTCCGGATCCGTAAGGCCACGTGTGTTTGCCGACCCGGGAGTCGAAGAGCTTCTTCCAGTAAGCGGCGTCGTAGCGTTTAAGAGCCTCGTAGTCATGCTGCACGTCCAACAGCAGGCCTGCACAGTTTAGCACATATAAGATGCCACATCAGATTGGCTGAAACAACATCTTGCCTACTACTGATGGAAATGAATTCAATTAAAGTGAATCTTGCGACGTTGGAATCCTTGCAGTAGTCGAGCGTGCCATAAAGGAACAGAAGAGAATCTTTCATGTCAGAAAGATTTCGCGGTTGCATACCGTCCTTGCTTATGTAGATGACCTCGTCTAGCGAGTGAAATGAAGGGAGATTATGATGTCAGAAAGACTTGGTGATGATAGGGAGAATGTCAGGTTGGACTGCATACCGTCCTTGCTGGTGTAGATGACCTCGTCTAGCGAGTACTCCTCAGTTGCCTTCTGCTCCGGACAGAACGGAACGTACTTCGCAGAAAACACATTCTGAGGACTTTCGAGCTCTGAAACAACGTCAGAGCGAAGGGAGGAAGGGCGCACAGACTTAGACAAGAGGCAGCAAGGCAAGATAAGCAAGACACCACGACCATCATGCTACGCCTTTAAGGTACAAGCACATTTCGGACCAAATTAGCAAGGCAGTGTTCCAAATCAAATCAGGTGGAATCGATGCCTCTGGCTGACCTTCAAAACCAAGGGTGAAGCATGGTTTGACCCATAGGCACCTAGCGTAACCGGGGTTTAGGCCATTCAACTCCCAGGATAATCAGGGAACTATTATTAACACATAGAGTGCAGCCTTTCGCAAAAACCGAAGGCCTACCCTGTCGAGGAGCCTCGTGCCGGAAATCCCCTTCTTTCTTTGAGGTAACGACAGTTGAATCTGCAGCCTCTGCAACCACTCGCACGCCGGTTGACACAACCGCTCGGTGCTTCGATTGCCGGGCTAAGGCCTTCTTGGAAAGCACCAGAGAGCTCTTTTTTAGGCCATTGAACGGCACAAGTGTAGCGGAGGAGTTCACGAAAGGAGACTCCGAACTAGCAGCTCCTGCACGAGCTAGACCGCAAGAAGACGTCGACACGCGTGCAGACAAAGTGGCCGCCATGCCACAAATGGGCTAGGAGAATAACAGCCACGGGAGGAACTTAATGTCGTCTGCTTAGAACCGTAGTAGGTCTAGTCGACCCTGCTCCACTACGAGTACGAAAACAATGGCCCACAGATACACACCGTAGCAGGACAGCTCCTGACTTCTAGTAGTGTCAGCAAGCTCTGGGCAGCAGCAACGGCGGTTGGGACTTTTGCCTGGCTCCTGCTGCCAGGTGCTCTGCTCACTGGCTTCACTACACTGAGCAAACTTTTTTTTGCTGATTACCCTCACTGATACAGTACTCCCAAGGTGGTGGGGGAGTGAGGGCATGGCATTGGCGGCGAAGGGTTTTCAGAAGCAGAGGTTTGCGGGGAAAAGGGTTCTCACTTCAGGCATACGGGGAACGGGGATGGGAGAAATGGTTGCGGACAACGTGGGCGGAAGGCTGAGACAGGGACGCGCAAATTTTCCATCGACAAATCTCCGTGAAGCATGCGGACGCGGAATGATGGCACGCTGAGGCGGTTTGGTCGGGTGCACCAGTGGATCACTTTGCTATGGTCCCAATCCAGTTGATCTGGAAGGCTCGTGGCGGCCGCTGTGGTGTGAAGCTGCGATTGGCTGCTGATATTTAACAGAGAGAATGATGTGGCAGTGTGACATGCAAGTTTCGTGGGTCCTTATATTGGGTGAATGAAATTCTACTGAAGAGCCCTTCATAAAAACTCTAATTAATTTCCAGCATTTTTCACAACCACCAGAGAAGTAAAGCAAGATTCTCATCCCACACCAATATTATAGGATTGGTCTCGCATGTACGTGTGAAGTACAGATAAATTAACCAAAACGCCTGACAAACATGTCTTCGCTAAGGGAAGGAGCCTCGTTATTGAGACCACCCAACGACTGATGGTCTCTGCTAAGGCCAATGTGACCTTAACAAGAAGTGAATTACTACTGAATCAAATACTACCCCGCGTTCTACCACCCTTCTCTCACCGATAACTTTATCAATGCATGGCGTCTCTTCCCAACGCCCCCCTTTATTTGCCCATCACTCTCCTGGATTGCCCTTCCAGGACCTGCTTTCTTCCCCCTCACCCCTTTCTTCACCTCATCCCTCCATCGAACCCTTCCCTCTCTCTGCTCACCCTCACTCCTCTGGCCGCCATTCCCTTCCTTCTCCTCTCTGCCACTCTCGCTCCGTATCTTCTCCAACTCCTTTTCCACATCAGCATCAACTGGAAGATCATATCTTATCCGGGCGGCTTCGGTCTGAAAATCCTTGAGCATGTCCCGAGTGATCTGTGTGCTGATGCCTCGCAAGTAGTGCGACAAAATGGGTGGCGGAGAGAGTGTGGGCTGCACTACCTGACAAAGCTCAACTCTGGTGGCCACCCGCATTGGGTTCTGGGGATAGTGGTGGTGGTGGTGCGGTTGGCGCTCATTTAGCAAGTAGCCGAAAAAGGCCTGTGGAGAAGAGCTGCCAGTTGGCCCGTTCTCATTGGTTGCGACGGCATCAGCAGGGCCATCAGTAGTTGACTTTACCGAGTGTGCTAATGAAGAGGTTGATGCGGGGGTGTGGGAAGCCAGGCGGGCAGAGTGGGGTGCGGGGGGGCGAGCAGAGCGGGCCGTGGGGGAGTGAGGAGAAGGGGCGGAGGAGGAAGGAAGTGTGGTGGAGGGAGGAAGAAAGGAAGAGGGAGAGACAACCAGCGGCACGAGTTGCCAATAACCCTCGAACTGCTTCATGAATCCGGGCCTTATAAGTTTAAACGACATCTGGTCAAAGAAAGGGAGCGAAACACATGTGTTTGACAAAGCCACCAAGACATGACGGCAAAGTGAATACTAAAAAGATGAACCGCCACGTGAGACACCAGCTCGTGACATGTGAAATGCAGGGAAATTGCATCTTTTCTGGCCAATGAATGTACCTTGAGGTTGGGTCGGTCCTGCTTGACTCTCAGGCGCACGTCAAAGGTTCCAGAGAGGAAGAGGAAGCGCCATCTGGCTCCCTGCTGCAGCTCCACCTCCTGCACGTCCCCATCGTCGTACAGCACGTTGCGGTAGCTCACATCCTGCCATGTGCCACGTGGGATTCCGTACAGCACATTGAGGTTCCTGAGAGGAAGAGTAAGCGCCACCGGGTGACTTTTGAGTCAACTCAAAAGTCACCTCGTTGCGGTAGCTCACATCAAATCCTGCCCTGCGCAATGTGGGATGTCGTACAGCACATTGAGGTTCCCGAGAGGAAAGAGGAAGAGGAAGCGCCACCTGCCTCCCTGCTGCAGCTCCACCTCCTGCACGTCCCCATCATCGTACAGCACGTTGCGGTAGCTCAAATCCTGCCATGTGCCATGTGCCGTGTATAATGCACACCCCATGTCATGGCATGCCATGCCCCATGTCCGGCCATGACCCATGCCATGGCGCGCCATGCCCCATGTCCGGCCATGACCCATGTCCGGCCATGACCCATGCCATGCCAAGTCATGCCCCTTGTCATCATTTCATGCAATGTCCCATGCCATGTCAGGCTAAGCCCCATGACATGCCCATACTATGCCCCTTGTCGTGCAGTGCAGCCCCGTATCATACCATGCAACAAAGTATCCTTTAACATTATGCCAAGGGATTTCACGAGATTGTAAGCATCTTATGAATGAGACTGACAAACAGGGGCATAGTCAGGCCTCTTGAACGAAATCAGGGTCAGAAACGAAATCAGGAGAGCGGAGTTGGTAAGTTCTAAGGTAGTATTAGTCAACGCACTTGGCTTTAAGGGTTCCGCACCTTGCAATTGCCTTACAACACATGCCAGCTGCTGTTGTAGTGACAGAATGCCCCATTCCTTTAACGCCCCTCCATTTCTTCCTCCCATTTTGTTTCTTTCTTCCTTCCTGATGTATTCATTTTCTTCTTCCTTAGTATCTTCCCCCATTTATTCAGGCACATAGGCGCATACAGGCACATAACTGTGCATAAATACATACATGGGCACATCGCCTACATTTCCCCTCCTTCTCAACCCCCACACAAATGAGCGAAAAGAACCCACAGACCCATCGAGTTATGAAATCCTACACCCACCCACCCACCGTGATATTCTTGAATACTCTTCGATTGCTGGGGTCGCAGAGTGTGCTATAAACGAGGTCCGGGGGCAGGGCAAGCAGGAACTGCGCGTCCATTCGGCAGAAGGAGCCCTTCGGGACGGATACCTGTAACAGGGTGACAATAAAGAGGGCCAAACCAGGGGGCAGGGAGTGTGTGCTCATGACAAGGTCTGACGTTCAGACGAGCAAAAGAGCGATGAAGGAAGGAAGGAAGGCTCTGAATGCAAGACACGCAACAATGCAGTGACGGCGGGAGAGGTGAAGGAGGAAGATACAGAGTACGGGCGGTATGGTGGAGCAGAAAATGGGAGAAGAAGGGCGAGGGCGGAGAGGAGAATGAGCATGCAAGGGCATGTGGCAACGGTCAGTAGTGAAGTGGCGGCATCTTCTGCCGCCAGGGGAGATGGCAGCATTCACACTTGCATGGATCATGAATACGTTACCGTTATTCCCGCCTACCTCGAGTTTCGGCTGCTCGTCTTCCCACTCGGGATCGGCTCGCCAAACCGCCAATTGCTGGCGCATATTGTCCTCCCAGGCGCTCCTCCGTCCGTCGCCGCCATTGCTGCTACCACCTGCGTTACCCCTAGGTCTGTCGTTTTTCCCAGTAACACTAGAACCAGCCCCTCGATTCCAGATGCTGCCGCCGTTCCCGTTGCTACTTTTGTTCGGAAACAGACCCGTCCATCGGGCTCCAGTACCGGAAGGTTCTGGCGTTTTTGCAGTAGCGGCTGTTGCTGAATCTTTCTCCGAGAGCTCAAAGGGCCATCTTATCGCAGAGACATCGGGTAATGTGAAATTGATGACGGCTTTCTGGAAATTGTCTGGAATGCCAGCAGCCACCGTGGTCGTCCAATCCGAGACATGCTTTCGAAGAGACTCGGGAAATGACATCCAGAGACAATGTATGCACTGGAAAGAGAAATGCGAAATTATGAAACTCAGAGAGGTACGGCTGCTTGTCGATCGCTCGACATATATAGGCTGAAGATGATGGTAGGGTGACAGGTTTTGGCAACAATGGCTGGTCTGAATGATTTTTCTGAAACACTTTTCATGTGCCGTGCTGGTGACTGGACCAGGATGACAAGAGCTGACGGGGGACGCTCATCAACTTACGTGGTTGGATTGGATCTACGCCCTCCGTACGCTTCAGAAATGGTTCGTGACACACACGCTGGTTTCTAACACGGCTTTTTATCCCCTCGTAGCACATATATTTAATACAATTTTTACAGCACAGGTTAATCATTGCACAAATCCATAACACTGGTTTTACTCCGGTCACAAGAACCATGGCTAACCAGTATGCCTATTCATCTACCCCTTGGTGATCTCGTCAGGATTATTGCTTGATGCACCCACGGCATCTTGAAAGTCGTTCTTTGCGGAAACATACAATGCTGTCAAGGAGTATGCCTGAAGGTCTTGAACTTCGTACCATGATTGCAATGGCTTCTTATCCTTATCAGTTCCAGAGAAGGCCACGTTTATCTGTCAAAGGTGGCTCATGTTAGCCGAGCAAAAAATAGCAGACATCATAGTAAAAGCAGTCAAAACAGCTCCCTTACTGCAAGGCGGCAAGGTTCAGGATCCGAACTGGTTTTCATGCTACTGCACTTGTCTTCTGTAACAAGGCAATTGCTGTTGTCCACACACAGCGGGCTCACAGGCTGGCATGTTGACTCTGAGCAACCCATATCCTTCCTGCACAAGGATGACTTCACAAATGTCTTGCAGAGGAGATAAGAAATCATTGCAGCAAATGACTTCGGACTTTTACCACACAAATGAATCAAGAACGCCTTCTTTAAAATTTATTATAATGGTTAGAGAAGGAAGCCGTCCCTGCATGGCAGTGCAGGGCGATCTGGTAGTTAGCAACGGCAACTACAACATCATTAGGCGTTGCGTAGGTCAATTCGTTACCATTAGGGATAAGAATTGTCGAGGAGAAGACACGATACCCTTTGCTCCAGAATATACAATCAAAGAGCTGTTGACAAACTGCATCGTTTCGAAAAGGGTTAGGAATGCAAATGCGAGCATGAATTCTGCGTTTTACCTCTTACAGTCGTGTTGATTCTTGCCATGCTAACGTTGTTAATTCTCAGAAGAGAAAGCTCATCGACTTTAGGTCGAAACACGGCCACTTCCACGCCTGGAGGTAATATCTGCGCGGACACTGTTTTGAACTCCATACTTAGAGTAACAACAGTATTTGAAAGAAGCTGGTTTGAAGATAGATACCCTGTCGCATGATATTCCTGATACCTGCAGAGTCTCGGCAAAGCACGGAGAGGATTTATTCCATGTCGCTGACATTCCACCGAAGCCAATTGCAAAGGAGAATCCATCGCCCTTCTGGACAGGATCAGCATCCTTGCATGGATCGTATACGGTGTTGCGATCTCCGGCTTGGACCAAAACAAGTGCCGCAATTACAATACTGAGAGAGAGGAGAGGGGCGTAAGAGCCAGCCATGTCAGAAGCAGACGAGGGAATTAGCAGTACGACTAAGAACGCCTGGTCGTTCTAGCGCTATCTCAAGCTAACAAATCAGAGATGCAGTAACTAAAGGAATGAGAGCCTCCGACAAAAGAGCTGAGCAGACTAGCTCAAGGCGAGCAGACTCCCTCGGTGCGGCTGTCAGAAGGGGCTGTCAAGTTGCTCTTCACACATCTCTTCGCAATTCTGCTGAAATCAACCCCTTCCACTAGGAGACATGCCACATTGACCAGCACATGCTGTCCGAATAACATTTTTTTCAAGGTTCATCACGGTACGGACTGATATAGTGTGATGTAGTGCGTTGCAGCTCGAACATACCTGCTCGAACTAAGGTCCTCAAAAGTAGCATACATAAAATATGTTTACCGAAAACAAATCATTACGACGCTATGGAGTTTCTCGACGCATACTATAAAGAGGTTATCATTGATGTCGTTTCGCTGACGTTATCGTTTCCAGGGAATTTCCCCCAACCCTCGATTTCATCTCTTTCCGCCTTTTCCTTTCCCCCTTCTCAGTCCGCCTCCCTTTCTCCCCTTCCCCTTCGTTCCGCGCCTGACTCAAACAGTTGCAGCACATTCCCTGCCTCAGCCAACTCAAATTCCCTCCCTGGGTTGTGGCTCCTCCGGGCCGGATTCCCTCCAGCAAGGATGATAATCTCCCATATCCTGCTGAACTGTTTTTAACGCAATATACTTCATAAAACGGCTTCTCTTCGCTGGCAGCGGTATGCATCGACACGGCTTCCGCCATTGCCGTTCGGCCAGGCTCGCAGCACGGCAGTGCGTACTCCCAAATGTGGCATTGCCTAGCCCTACCCTCAGACGGCTCTGTTCTCCCTCGTTCTATTCGTTTTCCGACGACGCGAGTCTCGGTCAAGCGCATAATGTGGCGTTTAGTGCGCGTGAAAGCGTCAAACAGTGTGACGGTCGATTAGGTGCTATCTCCGGTTCAAATCTTCCGTCCGATTCCATTCTAAGCGCTGCCTGGCGGAACGTTCTTGCGAGAAACGGTACTTGGCTAGCAACAGGCTACCGCGATGGTGTTTTTTCTAGGTTAAATCCCCATCATGTACTCAGTAGCAGGCGTTCCATTACAACCATTGGTGTCAGTGACAAGCCGTTGAACTTCTGTATAGTGGGGAGCGGCCCAGCTGGTTTCTATACTGCAGAGAAGGTACGCGAAGCGATCAAGGGGGGTGTTATTCGAGAGGTAAACCAAGGTGGAAAGGGAATGCGTGAAAGCAGGAACAGGACCAGATTCGCTGTGTCAGATGTCTAGTGTTACCTGAAGACGTGTGAAATCCATTCAAGCTGTAAGCGACACAGAAACCTCCATTCCTCACTCTGGCTCTTCAACTTGAAGTGACTTCCCTGACCCTTGCTCTATGCTCTACTCTCTCATCTGATCCGACTCTTGCAGCTCCTGAAACGGTTTGACACGGCACGGGTGGACATAGTGGAAAGGCTACCCTCGCCCTTCGGCCTGGTGCGCACGGGAGTTGCCCCGGACCACCCTGAAACCAAGGTGCGAAGCCAAGTGCAGGCAGCAATTGATTTTTGAGTCGATTAAAAAGGCTGCCCTCGCCCTTCGGCCTGGTGCGCACGGGAGTTGCCCCGGATCACCCTGAAACCAAGGTGCGAGGCCAAGTGCAGGCAGCAATTGATTTTTGAGTCGATTAAAAAGGCTGCCCTCGCCCTTCGGCCTGGTGCGCACGGGAGTTGCCCCGGACCACCCTGAAACCAAGGTACGAGGCCAAGTGCAGGCAGCAATTGATTTTTGAGTCGATTAAAAAGGCTGCCCTCGCCCTTCGGCCTGGTGCGCACGGGAGTTGCCCCGGACCACCCTGAAACCAAGGTGCGAGGCCAAGTGCAGGCAGCAATTGATTTTTGAGTCGATTAAAAAAGGATGCCCTTTCCCTTCGGCCTGGTGCGCACGGGAGTTGCTCCAGACCACCCTGAAACCAAGGTGAGTAGCCAACGGCAAGCAGCAATGGCTGGAAACCAACCTAATTGTTCGTGAATGATATACTTAGGTCAGCATTTCGTCATGATACCCTGGCTTCTTGCTATGGTGTTTCAGTTTCGTTTACCATCTCGCATGAGAATGTGACTCACCTCATGATGATCAGGATGTGCAAACTTTTGAGATGGTGCAAGATGTTTTAGCGAAATCCTATGCGCTAATATGTAATGTACTCGTTTCCTTCTTGTGTGCCTTCCACCAGAATGTGATCAACCAGTTTACCCGTGTGGCCCAAAATCCCCGCTGCCAATACTTTGGCAATGTACTGGTCGGCCCTGTGGCGTCCACGTCAGCACCATCATCCTCCACGTCAGCATCAGACCCGTCACCATCTTCAGATTCACCATCACCAGCAGCAGCTGTGACGTTGCACGAGCTGCGTCAGATGTACCATGCTGTCATCCTGGCGTATGGAGCAGAGGGCGACCGCGATCTCAATGTGCCTGGAGAGGTGAGGAAAATGGAAGTTTCTGTAATTGGGAATGTCTCAAAATCCAGCTCACCACCCCCATCATCAGCAGCAGCAGCTGTGACGTTGCATGAGCTGCGTCAGATGTACCAGGCTGTCATCCATGCGTCAGATGTCACTTTTCTGCCTATTTTTCCTTCCGCTCCTTAGCCACTGAAGGATGAATATTCCCTGCCAAAGAATTTTACATATGCCGGTGTGCCTCTTCCCCTTCCTTCCAGCCTCTTCTCCTCCCCTCTGCACCTCCCCTCCTCGTGTCCACTTCTGTTCCTCTTTTCCTTCCTCCACACTCCAGCACCTGAGAGGAGTCTTCTCTGCCAGGGAGTTTGTGTGGTGGTACAACGGCCATCCCGACTATGCCAATCTTCCAGTGGACCTCACCTCTACTGACACCGCCGTTGTCATTGGCCAGGTATGTGTTTTTTTCCCTCTCTCTTCCTTCTCTGCCGTTTGCTGAAGTTGCTCCAAACATGGTGTGCTGCTCTGCTCAGATGGTCTTCTGAGCCACCTCTCCTTTTCCACATTTAGTCCTTCCTACTTGTATGTCCTCTCCCAATCACACCATCACACCATCACACAATAACTTCATCACACCATCACCCCATTTCACCATCTCACCATCACACCATCACAAATCACACCATGTCACCATCGCACTATAGCATTGCGCCGTTCCGCTCTTGCGCCGTTGAGAGAGGCGCCCCTACAGAGAGGCGCCCCTACAGAGAGGCACCCCTACAGAGAGGCGCCCCTACAGAGAGGCGCCCCTACAGAGAGGCGCCCCTACAGAGAGGCGCCCCTACAGAGAGGCGCCCTTACAGAGAGGCGCCCCTACAGAGAGGCGCCCCTACAGAGAGGCGCCCCTACAGAGAGGCGCCACTACAGAGAGGCGCCCCTACAGAGAGGCGCCCCTACAGAGACGCGCCCCTACAGAGAGGCGCCACTACAGAGAGGCGCCCCTACAGAGAGGCACCCCTACAGAGAGGCGCCCCTACAGAGAGGCGCCCCTACAGAGAGGCGCCCCTACAGAGAGGCGCCCCTACAGAGAGGCGCCCCTACAGAGAGGCGCCCTTACAGAGAGGCGCCCCTACAGAGAGGCGCCCCTACAGAGACGCGCCCCTACAGAGACGCGCCCCTACAGAGACTCGCCCCTACAGAGAGGCGCCCCTACAGAGACGCGCCCCTACAGAGAGGCCTTCTGAGTGACCTCTTTTGGCAACAACCGCATCCTCTCACCTCGTCACTTCCCCCATTCCCCCATTGCACTGTAACTTGTAGGGTAACGTTGCCCTGTCTGGACGTGGCAAGAGTGCTGCTCTTCGACGGCCTTCTGAGTGACCTCTTCTCGCAACAACCATATCCTCTCACTCACCACGTCACTTCCCCCATTCCCCCATTGCACTGTAACCTGCAGGGTAACGTGGCTCTGGACGTGGCAAGAGTGCTGCTCCGACGGCCGTGCGAGCTTCAACCCACCGACATTGCAGAGCATGCACTGGAGGCACTGGCGAGCAGCCAAGTCAGGTGAGCAGCCGTGAGCAGCGGTGAGCTTTCTATTCATGTGCATACGACTCAACGGTCAATGAAGGTTCAATCAACCGACATTGCAGAGCATGTGCTGGAGGCACTGGCGAGCAGCCAAGTCAGGTGAGCTTCTATCCCTGTGTGCGGCCTGAGGCACGTGCCACTAGAGCTCAGTCTTGAATTTCCTTGGGGCTTAAAGGACAGCAGTAATTGCAGAGCATGCGCTGGAGGCACTGGCGAGCAGCCGAGTCAGGTGAGCAGCAGTGATGCGCGTGCTTGCTATAGCTGCTCACGACTCATCGGTCCCTGAAGCTTCAACTGGCATCAGACGTTGCAGAGCATGTGCTGGAGGCACTAGCAAGGAGCCAAGTCAGGTGAGCTGTGAGCCCCCATTACTGTGGCATGTGCTTCAGCCCGCACGCGCCACAGTATCTCAAGGCTCACGACCAGTGCAGAGGTACTGGCTCTGCCCACGTGTCTGGTTAGGGAAGCCACAACCTGCACTCTCGTCACGATGTCACGATTTCACGATCTCACGATTTCCATTTGGCCGATCGTCACGATTTCATGACATGGAGTTCGTCTTCCTATCTTCCATCCCGCCTTCCCCTTTTCGACAGTTCTCTCAATTGCACAAGTGCACCCGTCTTACCCCATTCTCCTTCTTCAAATCAACGTTACGCACTCCTCCCCCTTCCCCCCGCCCCCGGCCGCTGGCTGCCGCTCCCCTTCTGTCTATAAAAGGCTAGTGCATGTGGTGGGAAGGCGGGGTCCGGTTCAGGCCGCCTGCACTGCCAAGGAGGTTCGCGAGGTGCTAAGTATGTTGCTTTCTGCTAAGTATGTTGCTTTCTGCTAAGTATGTTGCTTTCTGCTAAGTATATTTCTTTCTGCTAAGTTTGTTGCTTTCTGCTAAGTATGCTGCTCAACGCAGTGCCTGTTGCTCATTCCCCAATGTTTCTGCTGCTTTCCATGTATGCATTGTCTTGGTCAGTGGCCAAAATTCGCTCTGCATGGGAGCGAATATGCTTTGTTCTTGCATTCTGTATAGCGCACTCAACTTCGTTTCCAGTTGCTACCAATTTAATTGTGCTTTTTTTCCCTCCGGGGGGATGCAATATCTGCGCAGAGCTCGATGGCATTCAAGTCATGCTCAGGCAAGAAGACTTTGCTCTCACTCCTATGGATGAGGTATGCTGAGAAAGAATCATGGTTTTTAGAACGTGGGACTTAGTCGTGAATAGTGTGGCGAGCTCAATGCAAGCCGCAGCCACCGCCGCGTGTGTGATTGATCTCGCCACCGCTGCTCTGCAAAGCAGCAGCTGCATTTACGTCAACACCTGCTCCTTCGCCATTTTCAGCAATAACCACCACCACCTGCAGCAGCAGCGCCACCACCACCACCACCCGCAGCACCAGTGCTCATTGTCTCCGCCTGCGTTGTTCCCTTCCTCCGTTTCTCCTCCCTGTCCCTCTGCTCACAGAGTGAGCTCAAGGCAAGTCGCAGCCACCGCCGCGTGTTTGACCTGCTCTGCAAAGCAGCAGCTCCATTTGCGTCAACACCAGCAACACGACCATCACCATCACCAACAGTGATTGGTAGCAGCGATCGCCGTGAGCTGGACTTTGTCTTCTTCCGCTCACCTGTGGCTGTGCTGCCAGGAGTGGGCAAGGCGACAGGAGAGGGTCTGGCGACAGGAGGAGGAAAAAGAGCAGATGGGAAAGGAGAAGCAGAGGAACGTGTTGGTGCGATTCGAATGGAGAAGAACGTACTCACGGGTCAGTGCTTGAGACTTACTTTGCTGATTCTGATGCAGCTGATGCTCGAAAAACAAAAAAAAAGCCACTGTAACAAAATAGGAAAGGTGTTCGCGTGCTGAAGATCAACTTTGCATTGCATGTGGATTTTATACTTAAAAGTTTTTTGATGCCTGTGTGTGCAGGGGACTTCAGGGACGGGCCAAGGAGAGCAGTGGGGACAGGGGAAACTAGCGACCTGCCTTGTGGGTGGGTACCAGAGTGGGTGATTTTGTTGAATAGAGCGATGCTGCTATGCCATCACTCTGTACTTGTTGCTCCCTCCCTGCCCCTCCCCGCCTACTGCACTGCCAACCTTTCAATACTGCCGCACTCTCCATCTGCTGAAGATCATACTGCTCATTGCTCTCTGCTGTCCCCCTTCTGCTCCTCCTCTTGTCCTCTCTGTCTCCTGCTCTTTGCCATTTGTGCCGAACTCTCCCCTTCACCTCCCCTGACCCCCCTCCCAGCCTCATGTTCAAGAGCATCGACTACCGTTCCCTGCCCATTGTTGCCATGCCATGCCATCCATACTGTACTCTCCGTCCCCTCCCCTCCTTTTTCCTAGCCTCATGCTTAACCTTCGCCATTCGTTCCGCTCTCTCCCCTGAACTACATTCCCCTCTCAGCCTCGTGTTCAAGAGCATAGGTTACCGCTCTCTACCCATTGCTGGGCTTCCAAACGCCTGCCACTCACTTCTACCTCTTTCTCCCCTCCACCTTCCCTAACCCCCCCTTCCAGCCTCGTGTTTAAGAGCATAGGCTACAACTCTCTACCCATTGCTGGGCTGCCGAACGCCTGCCACTCACTTCTACCTCTTTCTCCCCTCCACCTTCCCTAACCCCCCCTTCCAGCCTCGTGTTTAAGAGCATAGGCTACAACTCTCTACCCATTGCTGGGCTGCCGAACGCCTGCCACTCACTTCTACCTCTTTCTCCCCTCCACCTTCCCTAACCCCCCCTTCCAGCCTCGTGTTTAAGAGCATAGGCTACAACTCTCTACCCATTGCTGGGCTGCCGAACGCCTGCCACTCACTTCTACCTCTTTCTCCCCTCCACCTTCCCTAACCCCCCCTTCCAGCCTCGTGTTTAAGAGCATAGGCTACAACTCTCTACCCATTGCTGGGCTGCCGAACGCCTGCCACTCACTTCTACCTCTTTCTCCCCTCCACCTTCCCTAACCCCCCCTTCCAGCCTCGTGTTTAAGAGCATAGGCTACAACTCTCTACCCATTGCTGGGCCGCCGAACGCCTGCCACTCACTTCTACCTCTTTCTCCCCTCCACCTTCCCTAACCCCCCCTTCCAGCCTCGTGTTTAAGAGCATAGGCTACAACTCTCTACCCATTGCTGGGCTGCCGAACGCCTGCCACTCACTTCTACCTCTTTCTCCCCTCCACCTTCCCTAACCCCCCCTTCCAGCCTCGTGTTTAAGAGCATAGGCTACAACTCTCTACCCATTGCTGGGCTGCCGAACGCCTGCCAATCACTTCTACCTCTTTCTCCCATCCACCTTCCCTAACCCCCCCTTCCAGCCTCGTGTTTAAGAGCATAGGCTACAACTCTCGACCCATTGCTGGGCCGCCGAACGCCTGCCACTCACTTCTACCTCTTTCTCCCCTCCACCTTCCCTAACCCCCCCTTCCAGCCTCGTGTTTAAGAGCATAGGCTACAACTCTCTACCCATTGCTGGGCTGCCGAACGCCTGCCACTCACTTCTACCTCTTTCTCCCATCCACCTTCCCTAACCCCCCCTTCCAGCCTCGTGTTTAAGAGCATAGGCTACAACTCTCTACCCATTGCTGGGCTGCCGAACGCCTGCCACTCACTTCTACCTCTTTCTCCCCTCCACCTTCCCTAACCCCCCCTTCCAGCCTCGTGTTTAAGAGCATAGGCTACAACTCTCTACCCATTGCTGGGCTGCCGAACGCCTGCCACTCACTTCTACCTCTTTCTCCCCTCCACCTTCCCTAACCCCCCCTTCCAGCCTCGTGTTTAAGAGCATAGGCTACAACTCTCTACCCATTGCTGGGCTGCCGAACGCCTGCCAGTCACTTCTACCTCTTTCTCCCATCCACCTTCCCTAACCCCCCCTTCCAGCCTCGTGTTTAAGAGCATAGGCTACAACTCTCTACCCATTGCTGGGCTGCCGAACGCCTGCCACTCACTTCTACCTCTTTCTCCCCTCCACCTTCCCTGACCCCCCCTTCCAGCCTCGTGTTTAAGAGCATAGGCTACAACTCTCTACCCATTGCTGGGCTGCCGAACGCCTGCCACTCACTTCTACCTCTTTCTCCCCTCCACCTTCCCTAACCCCCCCTTCCAGCCTCGTGTTTAAGAGCATAGGCTACAGCTCTCTACCCATTGCTGGGCTGCCGAACGCCTGCCACTCACTTCTACCTCTTTCTCCCCTCCACCTTCCCTAACCCCCCCTTCCAGCCTCGTGTTTAGGAGCATAGGCTACAACTCTCTACCCATTGCTGGGCTGCCGAACGCCTGCCACTCACTTCTACCTCTTTCTCCCCTCCACCTCCGCTAACCGCCGTACCCCCCTCTCAGCCTCGTGTTCAAGGGCATAGGCTACCACTCTCTGCCCATCGCTCCCTTCTGAACCCCTGCCCTCCCGCCGCTTTCTCCCCTTCACCTCCCCGTACCCCCCTCCCAGCCTCGTGTTCAAGAGCATAGGCTACCGCTCTCTGCCCATTGCTGGCCTGCCTTTCAACCAGCGCAGTGGTCAGTTCGCATGTGTGTATGTATGTGTTTCCATTGCACGTTCATGTAAGACTTGCATCGTTTATGTATATATGATATGACCTTATCGTGGTTAACCATTCCTTTCAGAATCCCAACCACTAGACCATTGGGATAAAATGGATTGTTTGTGTAACGGGTTTGTGCGCCCATAACCCCCCAAGCGAACGCGCCTGTAACCCCCCTAGGATCAATCGGGCATCCACAGCGCAGATCTATTGACACCCCCCCACACTTGGAGACCCAGGACAGAGCACAGCGGCAACGGCCTACATGTGCATAGACCGGGATTCGAACCCGAGACCGCTCTAATACCATGTCAGAATCCCAACCACAATACCATTGGGATAAAATGGCTTGATTGTGTAGCGGGTTTGTGCGCCCATAACCCCCCATACGAACGCACCTGTAACCCCCTTAGGATCAATCAGGCATCCACAGTGCAGATCTACTGACAATCCCCCTACTGTCCAACTTACTTTTGGCCACATTCCTTGTTTTACCTCTTGCCCTTCCCCACCACTTCACTTTTTACAACCCGTCCTGTTCTCGAAATCATGCTTGCCCCATACTTTCCACCACGTGTTCACACCTATCCTTTTCTTTGGCCCCCACCTCCCTTCGCTTCTAACTTAATCTAGGCACGGTTCCGAACGAGTTGGGCCGTGTGCTGCAAGCCAGTGGATCCGAGCCTGTCAGTGAGGCTCGGTACGAGCCGGGCTTGTACGTGGTTGGGTGGCTGAAGAGAGGTCCCACAGGAATCATCGGCACGAACCTGATCGACGCTGAAGAAACGGTTAGCCTCTGGGCCCCTTCCTTGCATTGCCCTTCATTCCCACATTCCACAAATACACTGGTAGGCAGTTTTTGAGTCGCATCAAAAGGTGGTAGAATGGGACTCCATAGGGACCATCAGCACGGACCTGTCTGATGCTGTAAGAAACAGTGGGCCTCTCTTGATTTGAACTTCCCTTTCTTCCCTTTCTCCCCTCTCAGTCCCCTCACCTCCTCCCAAATCTGATTCCAATCTCCTCCTCAGTCTTTGTGGTTGCTCAATCACTTGTGAAGTCCCTAAAACCTACATTCTGACCTTCAATGCTGAAGATCTGGTCTCATTTTTGTGTCTACTTCTCTGAATCAGGTCTCTAGCATTGCACAGGATGCAACAGCAAATGGCCTCATTTCGTCGACACCTTTCGACACGAATGCTAGCAAAGGGGGAGGGTTGGAGCTTCTTGCTCTTTTGAAGCAGCGGGCGTGCCCATTTGTAACATTTGAAGATTGGATGAAGATAGATGCTGAAGAAATTCGACGTGGCATGGCAAGCGGAAGAGTCAGGGAGAAAATTGTATCGTCAACGGAGGTCCTTAGAATTCTGGGAAAATAATATATATTCACTTATCAGTGCTCTGTGCGCCAGCCATGCCACATCCCTGTTTCCCATCATTTCTTTATTGTATCCTTCCTTATGGTAGAGGTGAAGTTCTCTGACTAAATCAAAATATCAGCAAATCCCAGTTGTCTTCACGTCTTGTGCAAAATGAACGACACAATCAATTGCCTGAGTACTGATACGGAATCCCGGATGAAGCCCTAGCGAGGATTCAAGACACTACCCCACACGTGCCACAATTAGCTTTTCGCAACTCCTTGTCGGCGAGGAACCTGTGATGACACATTCGTTAGCCAATCACAAAGCAATGCTTCGCCGTGATGTCGTGGCAACTGTACGATTTCCACTCAACATGCGAAATGCGACAAGTGTGTTGCGAATATACAGTGTCGGAGAGCAGGAGGAAATGTCGCATTTTCTTCGCCTGTTGTCGACCTTGGGTGTTACAACTGGTTCTAATCGGTTGAAGCTATAACCTCAAACCTAGGCTGCGGTGCCGACAACCACCTTTCTTGAGGAGCTGCAGAATGTGCCTTTCACTCTGGTAGAACACGAAACCAAAACCCCCTGCGATGCGCATCAATGATAATGCGAAGGCGACAGAGTTACAAACAAACAATTCGCCGAAGCGCCAACATTCCTGGTTCCTCTGTCCCCTTGTCTACACGATGTTGGCTCGACTACACCTCGCTCTCTCCTTCCCATATATAATCCGCATCTGAAAACCTTTCAACACCATTCGAACAAAAGTGCTCTCCATTTTGCTCCATTGCCTCAAAGTTCAACGCTTCGCAAGCACACCATGGCAGTCAGGCGTCTCCTGCTTTGCGCCGCGTTGTTTTGCCTCGTATTAAGCGGTATGACGCTCACTCGTATTCTGCTCAGCTCCGCACTTTCGTTGATTCTCGCGGTATTTCCAAGCTACAGGGCATATGCTTTGTTGCGAGACTTAATACAACACGTTCGACCAGTAACGCATCTCAGTTTGTGACGTGCAGGTAACGCCGTTCCGGGGAGGCAGCTTCGTCACCGAAGCAAGTATTCGTGGCAAGACTTCGCCGCTTTGGGGACATTTTCTGGTAAGATACTCTGCAAAATCCTGCTTGAACCCCTATATTTCAGTTTCCGCTGCGGTATCTTGAGTGGTTTGTTTCCGAGCACACGTTCTCTAACGAATGTCTCTTCCGCTTTCGACGCATAACTGTCGCCGGGCTGTCTCAGGAACTCTCGCCGCTCCCATGAGCGGGAGTCAAGTCAGTGGCGGGAACAAGAAGGACCATGGAGTTATTCGAATGTCGATTTTCTCGTAAGTCACAGCTTCGAATCTATATAAACATAGTATTTCTCGTGTTCATATCCCTGCCTTTCTTCCTCGTTTTGGTACATTTTGGTCGCCATCTTATCTGCATTTCTGGTACGTAAGCTG